CCGAACATTTTCTTTGTTCCAGCTTTAAATCCTCGAATCTCAGGAATCGTTGACAACACAGAATTTGTGGCTCTTTGCTGATTGACTGGTGCCCGAACTCGCACTCCCGGGGTTTTTGTGAACCGTCTAGTGTATTCTGATTCCTGACCGAGTTGCTGGAGAGAAATGAGGCACTAGGTGGCGCCAGCCTGGCTAAGAAAGTTCTACAATATGGTATTAAACCTATCTTGCATTGAACATATCTTGTATTCATTCCATTTCATCTGTTTTTATTGCTAAAAATAATACCTTGATTAAAGACATTTTTATTGTGTGTGGACTGACCTCTCCACAGATCTGACCTGTAACTTCTTGGTGGCATCACTTGCTTGTCGAATGAATTCTATGATTGTGGAATATTACAGGCAAAGCAATGACTCCTACATGTAAACAAGTAGTTGACTGACCTTCAGCCAATAAAGTTACATAGTGTACCTTTAAAGTTCATATATTACGCAAAATTTACTCTTTTACTCTTTTAGAATCGTCTTCATTCACACATTTGAATAAGCATTTATTATTAGTTAACACCTTTCATGCTGACATTATTCAAATAATTCTAATGAAGGTGTATGGAGTTTAAAAACACAGAAGAGCACTTCCTGTACTACAACATGTCATCACAAGCTGGAGTGTTTTCTGTTTGAGAAAGGTTATGTTTTTGGTGAGGAAACATTACAAAATAGACCAGAAAATAGCGTAATACGGGTCCTTTAAATCTCCAAGCTGAACGGAGATATAAGGCCAAAAAAAGTCATATAGTAGATTTGTATTCAGTACTACTTTAAACAAGACAAATATGTACAACTTAAACTTGCAGCCGGCCCTGACAGAGCACTCATGGAGAGGAAAGCACTCATTAGCTTGTGTTTTTGTGTGAGAAAACATTTTTAACAAGCTCCAGGTTGTCCGCAGGTCCTCTCCGGCGCTCCTCTGTTCGTAAATGTCTGACTCTTCTCTGCCAGATACTTTTGGACTGCTTTTTGTGATTTCCTGTTGACCTCTCTCCAAAACACATTCATCCCAGAAGCTTATCACGGTGCCAAACCTAATCTAGTGGCTGAAGATAGATAGTGTAACTTTGGCAAAAAGACCAAGGACAGGCATATCCCCCATGGTCTAATGAGTCACTTTCTTAAAATCAATTGCAATTAGTCACAACCTGAATTTCACAAAGCACTGACGTATTTCAAGTTACTTTGTTGAGAGTTTTTGGTCCTTTTTAAAGGTCTTATATTAGGCAAAATTGACCCTTGTGAGATTTAAGTCACCTTAGAATGTTGTACCTCATCAAAAACATAGCTGAAGTTGGTGTTTTGTTTCATTCACACATTTTTGAGTTACCCTTTATTATTAGTTTGTCTGTATCTCCAAAGCTTTTGTTCAGTAATGATTGGAAATGATAGGGCTATGAGAATGAAACAAAACAAAACTCTAGGTATATTTTAGAAAACAGAGAAAAACAACAAAGATTAGAAAACAGCGTAATATGGGCCCTTTTAGTTTAAATTCTACCTTCATTGAGATCTTGATCGCTATGTTATACTAATTCTTCAGTTCAGATCAGTTGAAGTAGCCAAGTCATTTGAGCTAGTAGGAGAATCTATCTTTGATGCCAGCATTGCACACTGCTGCTGTGTCCTTGGGCTAGACACTTTAAACTCTCTGATTCTATAAATATGTCCTGAGAGCTATATTAAAAGACTACACTGTGTAACTTTTCAAGTGGAATGTACGCCACCTGCTTGTCTCATGAGATACTATGATTTCTTTGCCTAGAATTTTACGTATGTTACATGCAGTATTAAAGTTATCTGTCTCCATGGAGACAAACGGTTGATGCATCAGGCAAAGTTACAGGTAAAATTGTGGAAAGGCGACTCTGCTCATTGTAAGAATGTATGTTTTTGAAGGTATTTTTGAGTAAAAGGGAGAGCCATAATTTAATAATAGCTATAGTACGTTGCTTTATTTCTGAACTTTATAGGCAAAGCAATAAAACCCTAACCTGTTTCATCAGCCGGTTTCACTTTGTGGAAACAGTCTGACCTCACAGCATTAGGATTCATTCGTTCGATGGTAGGCGGGTACTTTTTTTATTTAACCAATTGCTGCCATTTGGTTCTGATGTATGTAATGTGCCAAATCTCATAGGAAGATGGGCAATAACGTCTTTCTCCTTGATAAAATTAACCAAATATTCTCTTTGTTCTGGCTTTAAACCCTCGATATTTGGAATCGTTGCCAACACAGAATGTATGGCTTCGTCTTACATCCATCTTGACCGCTTTGTTTATTGTTGTGCTGTACCACAAAAGGGACCCAGACAGGCACTTGAGTTTGACATCATGGATTCACAGTTCTTTGCTGATTGGCCAGTGGGCGGTCTACAACTTCCAGTTCTTGCAAACCATCTAGTGTATTCCGATTTCTGACCTAGTCGCTGGAGAGAAATGAAACTGAGTGGAGGCATTAGGTGGCGCCAGCCTGGCTAATAAAACCCACCTATACATAGTGTACCTTTAACTTAATTTAACAAAAAAAAAAATGCTAATACATTAACCTCTATTTCAAACTAGTATGCATTTAAACACTAAAATGTATCCATCATGCACTATTATGTTCAGTACAGGAATAATACCTTCAGCTACAACAGCAACCAAAATACATTTCAGTGTTTATCTGCAGTCTCCATGGCGACGTCCCTCCGACCTTGCCTTTTTTGCAGTGTTTTGCCCAATGTCATTTCTCTCAAAGTGATCTGCAGTCTTCATAAGGAATACCTGTGGGGTTCCTCACCTCAATCCTCCCTCAATAACTACTCCAGACGCCTTGTTCCCAACTGTACATCACGTTTAATTTGAGGCCCGTCACCTCGAGCAACCTGCGGGGTTAGCCAATCAGAGGGGGCCATTTGGATCATGTGGGCGGTCAGGGTTCTTTAATTAAATGACACTGCTTTTTGTCTTCATTATTTCAGAAATAATTGGTCATGAGAACTTGGCCCTAGCTTATTAAAGTGTTGTAAAGAGAGAGGTGACAATCTGGAGTGAATTGAGACAGATCATAAGAGGTCATTAGAGGCAAAGTTACAAAACATCAAAGACATACAATCAGTAATAATAAGCAGAAGTAATAATAAGGCAGGTTACTGAATGATACACTGCAAAAAAACAACAAGAAAATACTGAATTGGCCATAGACCTGCATTTGTATATAACCAACTGGAGACATCACTGAGTGGTTTCTATTATTACAGTACTTTTCTACCTCCATTTGGACATTCAAATCAGTTTACATCAAGGAGCATTCACTCACATCTTCATAATACTGAAAATGTATCCAATCTGTACTGTCTTAAAAATGTGAAAAACAGAACTAGCTCATTTGAAATAGTTTGCAGAGTTATTTCTCACTTAACTTATGCGGTCCATGACCAGTGCAGAGTTATGCCATGACTGTACAGCTAACAACAGCTAACATGCTAACACACACTTCCTGATTACTGGACAGTAAAATGTTTTCTATTTAGAGGCAGACACCACACATCAGACTTATTCTGACCTCAGGAGTTGCTTATACAATATATCTGTATGTAGGAAGACCATAGACTGTATATATAAGTTGATCGAGGGAGTGTGACATCGCTCATAGTGTTCAGCTCCAGTCAAATGAAGCTTGTCGAGGCTGGCAGTTATAGCAGCAAATTTGGAGCCGTGCATGCAGAGGGGCGACTGTTTCTCCATAAAAAAGTAAATTGGAGCCACAGTCGATGGAGCCAGAAGTGTGCTCATAATCACTTCCTAATAGTAACAATACGGGTAGCAGATTAGCTATGTGGATTTATAAATACAGTCTATGGGAAAGACAAATTTGGCTCAAATAAAATGGTAAATGGTCACATTTTTATATTATGCTTTTCCACCTTCAAGGCACTCAAAGCGCTTTACAACAAGGAACCACTCACCCACTCACACACATTCACACACCAGTGTGCACAGACACTAGCGGCAAGGTATGTTAAGTGTCTTGCCTAGGGACACAACAACAGCATTCATCTGTGGGAGCTGGAATCACACCACCAACCTGTGGGTCAGTGGATCTGACCGCCCAACCAGTGATGTTTACGCTACCGGTCAAAAGTTTTATCACATCCTAATTGTTCCAGTTATTTATTGCAATTCAAGTCGTGCAAGTCCAATGAAGAGCTTGCAATGGTACAAAGGTAAGAACCGAACAGACAGAAGAAGACAAAAGATAAAAGATAACAAAACACAAGTCCAAGCTCTGCCAAAATTACTTCAGGAAAAAAGAACAAGATTGTGAGCTTGAAAACATAAAGTGACCAGCACAAAAACCCATTGATTGATTTTGGGATGAACTGGACAGAAGAGTGAAAGCCAAGCAACCTACAAGTGCCACACATTTATGGGAACTTCTGCAAGAGACTTGGGAAGAACTTTCTGAAGAATATTTGATGTCTATTGCAAAAAGAATGTTACGAGTGTATTCCGCTGTTATATCTGCCAAAGATGGACACTTTGATGAATCAAAAGTTTAGAATACGTTTTGGTCAACAGTAAACAGTAAATAGAAAAAAACTGGAAAAAGTGTGGTGTTCTAAAACTTTTGATCAGTAGTTTATGTTGAGAGCAGGATTTGAACCACCAATTTAGGCTTAGTGGACAAACCCTTTAAGGAACTGAGTTACTGTTGCCCATAAATACTTGGTACAAAATTGGGTACAGACCCTTTAAGCACTAAACATGGCTCATTTGGCATAGTTATTATTAAATAATTGAAGTCATTGCTTAATACTGCAAGCATATCTGAGAGGAGATGTCTTCTGCGTTTGAACGACGTGGCGCTCCAGCTCTCAAAAAGAAAGTAGGAGGGACTTATATAACAGGCTTTATAAAACACCATTTCACATTTTCACTCTGTGCCAACTGAGGCCTTACCTTCCTCTTGTTGTTGGGGCTCACGTAGAGGTAGCTGAGGATGGTCTTGGCTCCCACTTTGTCATTGAGCTTCTGGTACGTGGCCCCGTAGTCAGTGGACCTGAAAGAACCACAGACACAGAGAGGCAAGCAGCATGAATCACCTCTGATAATTAAAACTCTCCAACCACGAGACAGACCAAAGGGGGTAAAAGGCCCATGACGCAACAGTTTAGGGGGCAATCTGGGATAGAGAGAGAGAGAAAAGAGAGGAGGAAGAAAGAGCAGAGTAGGTATAGGGAGAGCAAAGAAGAAGAGGGAGAGGGGAGGGGCTGAAAGAGAGGAGAGAGGGGAGCAGAGAGGGGGAGAGAACAAAGAAAGTAGAGGGAGAGCAAAGAAGAAAAGAGACAGAGAGAAGGAAAGAGGATAGAAAGGGGAAAGGGGAAGTGGGAAAGAGGAGAAAGGGAGAGAGAGCAAAGGCGTGGAGCGGTACAGAGGGAGAGAGAAGGGAGGAGCAGAGAAAAAGACAGAGGGAGGATGAGAGAAGAGGAGGAGGAGAGAGAGTTGGGAGGGCAGAGGTAGATAGGGGAAGAAGAGCGAGAGGGAGGTGAAAAGAGGGTGAAAAAGGAAAGAGATGGAAGGGTGGATAGGGAGAGAGAGGGGGAGAGAAGGGAGATAGAGAGGAGAGGAAGAGATAGAGAAGAGGAGGGGGAGAGAGAGGAGGGCTGGGCAGGACTCTGGGGCCGTGGCACTGCGGTCACTGTTCACTGCCTTCAGCTGCCGGGTTTATCAGACACAAACAACTCCAATGAATGTTAATTAAAACTGTGCTCATTAAGATGCAGCTTATTCGTTAGACTAATAAAGAATTAATGAAGACACAATGTAAGATTTATGGTTAAATTGCAGTTCTAAAATCATAAACGTTTTCAAAAATGATGGTTCTATTACATCCGATTGCACGTATGTTTATAATGACATTGGGAAACAGCAGTGCCTTTTGTTTTAGCGCAGAAGCAACAGGGCGAGGAGCACACCAGACCTACTTTTAGAAATGAGACAGGCTTGAATGTGAAATATGAAATTGGATTCGTCTGTTTAATGATTATTAGCCTCACTAGCTCACAATGTGACAGATTTTAATTATTGAGTAATTGACTTGAAATGGAAAGACTAGGGTGGAAGGAATAATGTAGTTGGTAGAAGAGTTATGCCATGACTGCACAGCTAAAAACAGCTAGCATGCTAACACGCACTTCTTGATTAGCAGACAATAAAATGTTTTCTAATTAGGTGCGGACACTACGAGCTGCTTCGACAATATATCTTATGGGGCAAGATAGGTTTTAATTCTTGAGTAATGGACTTTAAGTGGGAGAAATGATGTAGTTCCTGGTTAAAATTGAGCACGTGCATGATCCCAATGTTAATAAATATTTAAAAAAAAATATGAAAAAGAGACTTGATCTCCAAACCAGGACATTTGGACATCTGTCAGCAGATACACACAAACAACAATGGAATGAACAAAGGAGTAAACCCACACACTCTTAACACTTGTAGTTGCCAATAACTAATCCAACAGTCGATATATCACAATTTATTCACATGTGAGGGTCAAGTACACAGACACTGACTTTAGATGAACATGTTTATGTATCATTTCAGTATCTATGTGCTAACCAGTGTGAACATAGAAAAGAAACATCAAAACAAACACAGATGGGCAACTTCTCAGATTTTTATAATCCTGACTCAAAGCGATTGTCTGTAAAAGGAATAATAATCCAGTATGTTGACAGCATCAGTGCATGTGTTCTCTGTCTATGGCCACAGTCCTCTCTACAACGCACTGATAAAAAAAGACTTATTTTGTTGCTGGTGTGATCTGGGCTAAAGTTAACTTTTATTTTGTAAAAGAGTTCAGATCATTTAAAATGGCAGCTTCCTCCATCAGTGGTCAGAGCAGCAGAGTGCACTTTTGTAAACAGGACCATGTCTCTCTGCTGCATTCAGGTGCAGTACGGCATCACAGACACTATTCCACAGACAGATCTCTGTCTGTAAATTGGATTAAATTGTTGTATTCTAGAGAGTATAAGGTTTAAAGAGAGTTGTAGCCACATTTTGTCCGATACTTCTTCAAACAGCCTTATTGGCCAATAATATGAACCAACTAATTTATCGGTCAGGCCCTAGTGTCTAACCATTTATTAATCTTAACAAATCCTCTAAAAATTATATTTTTGATGACGATTTCAGAATGATGAAAACAAAATGCTGAAAAGCATGAATACAGGTCACACAATAATGTGAACAAAAGGTTTCAAATCATAGTTTTAACATTTAGCATCTCCTCACCTAACTACATATACTATATAGAAAAATAATGTTTTGATATTGCAGCCTAAAATAAACATTACGACATTAAATTAGCCCTGAGTTATCTACTGTTATTTCAAACTTTTTACTTCCAAATAACGGTGAAGTGTTTGTGTTGTGCCTTTGCTGCAGGGTGAGGACTTCATGGCCTGGCCGTGTCCTCACAGAGCTCTGTTCACATGTGTCCTGACCTCCACCTCACAGAAGCTTTTCGAGGCAAGTCCACAGCCAAGTCACACTCGTGCTCCTCCAACTATTGCAAAAGTGCACATCCCACAGGCAAAACACACTCAACTTCAGACAACACACTTGGACAATTGAAATCATATATAATCAGATAACCCAATACAGACAGAAACAGCAAAGTGAAGCAGAGTTGGACTGCTCTCAGAGGCTGGATTCGTCGAAGGGTGCTAAAGCTCACTCATTTACAAGAAAAAAGTCATGACCCCAGTTTTGAAAACCATCTGTAATTAGATTGGCTGACCCGCCCCTGCTGTATTCTAACATATCACCAAAGAGGTTATCTACATTCCTTGTATTTGATAGTGTGTCAGCTGTGGTCTGGCAGAAGAAGAGGACAGCTGAGGTTTAACAAAGGCTAAACCTTTGGATGGTAGCTTTAAGAGTTGAAAGAGAGTTCAAAGATTGGTTTTCACTCTTAAGAGTCAGTGAAGACCTCAGAGGTCCAAATACAGTCTCTGTCATTATAAATGTTTTAGCAGCTTTAGAGTCTCCTCAGTCTCAGAGGACACTGTACCTGTATCAGCCCCATCTATGCACTACATCAGATCCAAGCTACTCCAAGCTATATTAAGATATTTTGTGTGCCCAGTAATCACATCAAAATCTAAAGAAGTTAGGGCTTAGATCAAAACTATTTAAAGTCTGTGGTGCAATCTTTAGATAAATGTGCTGTTATTCACGAGCTAATCCCAAATCTGTTAAATTCTGAAGCATCTGCAAAACTTCAAATGACTTATTTCAGTTGTCAGGTTTGATTTATTTTGAAAGGCTCCACTAAGGACTAAATTCACAGGAAAATAGAGCTAACTCTTGGAAAGCTAAATCAAAACGGCAGAGAAAGCATTAGAAAAGCACTCATGACTTCAAAAGAGGCACTGCATCCAACCATGTTTGTGGTCTGCACTTTTTTCAGTTTGAAGATTTTAGGTTCAAAATGTCATAGCAACTTTTACAATTTATTATTTATGTAGGTCTGTTGCACAGTATTTTACCATGTTGAAATGTCTAGTTCAGCTCAGAGGCATGGTGGTGCAATGGACTCACAGCAAGATGATCTTGGGTTTAATTCCAGGGCGCTGTGGGGCCTTTTTATGTTTTCTGTTTTTGAATGTGCATATTCTGCCTGTGTTTGGCTTTCCCCGACCATTAAAAACATGTTCAATAGGCTCACCTCTTGAACATGAATCCACATCTTAGTAGGTTAACTAAAGAATAAGAAAATCTTCTATGTCCCCTTATAAGTAGAACTTCAAGACAAAACAAGACTGAAATTGAACTGAAATTTATGACAGTGTAGAGTGATGCAAATGTGAATGATCATATTAGCATTCCTAAATTGACTCCTGTGAGCTTAAGTCATGTTAGAATGTTTGTACCTCATCAAAAATATACATGTTTCATTCATACATGTTGGAGTAGCCCTTCATTATTAGCATGTTTACATCTCCAAAGCTCAAAATGCTCTGTTCCACCTTGTGATGTCATGAAGCGGTAGTATTCAAATTACCTTTTACTTTTTGTTTTGTAGAGATTCCAGGGCTGAAATCATCCAGATGATTCTAATGAAGGTGTATGGAGTTTAAAAACACAGTGGAGCACTTTCTGTATTGCCACATCAGAAGGTGGAACAGACTTTTCAGTTTGAACTCAGCCTAAATATGCAGGGTTTGTGTGTTAAACATGTGTGAATGAACCAAAACCCAACTCCAGGTCTGTTTGTGATGAGGAAACAACACTAACGTTTATCATAAAACAGTCTAATCTGGGCCTGTTAACGTTGTTGTTGAGTTTTGGAGACACTACATGTAGCTGACTGATTTTTGCCACTACACTTTTTTCCACAACAACAATCACAACAATTCTTCCTTGGTTACTACCCTTTTGAGATCAATACATCGTGACTATAACTTCTTATGCTTTTCATCAAACATCAGACCCTCCCCCTCGGCTGTCTGACCACCTCCCCTCGCTGGACACTGACATCAGCGCATCGACCCGCACACAGGGGGCGCACTAACACATGATTTAGGGGCCTATGACTTATTTTTAGTGTCACTGCAACTTTCAACACAGCCCAATAAAAAGCCCACCCGAGGCCTGAGAGATGAGAGAGGCACTAAAGTGAGAATGATGGTTTTTCAAGGACAGATGGGGAGAGGTAGTACTTAACTATGGCCACATATAGTGGACCTAATGGAACCCAGGTGAACAAGAACAATTTATATTGTTTTAACAGTTACAGTTTTTGTTTTCAGTATTTGTTAATTTATTTTTAACAAAACAAAAACAAAAAACACAAATTACAGATAAAAAATTTAACATTCTTAAAAATAAATGAATAATATAATAATAATAATAATAATAATAATAATATAATTAATGTACTTTTTTTTTACAAAAAAAACAAAACAAAACCATGTATACAGAAATGTTTAAAACAAAAACTGTTTTGTTTGTTTTTATCAAATTATTTATCATTTTAACACAACTAAA